AAAAATAAAATAAAAGAGCTTGCACATCATAGAACAAAAATCCATGTCCCAACCATATTAAAATAATGTAAAATAACAATACAAACATTTTGTGCATTTTAGCACATAACACTTAATCACACAATTATATAATCTAAAAATACATTTTTGTACAGCACTCAAAATTCTTACCCCCAAGTGACAGCCACTGCACTGGATGATATCATCTCTGTGGGTGTCATGACAACTAGATAACTGACATTGACTAGTAGGTACAGCATCGTTACCATGGGAATAGCTATCATCAGTGCCCTTGGCAGGTTCACCTGAAAGACAAAATCATTTTATTAATAAGAGGATTATAGTGATAAACTATATAATTTTGCAGTTGTGACATATCCACATTTATCACTTTAATTATATAATGACATCAACCTACTTTATTCATGTCAACACTGCACATAGTAATGATATTGCAGAAGACTTAATCTCACCTCCTCAGTAACATTGTTTAAGTTGTACTACCCAGCCAGCATATGACCACAGGCATTGATACAGTGCCATTCCAACAGTACTGATGCCAAGCTTTGTGTCTGCAAAGGCACTTTCTAGATTGTAGAGACTTCCATAATTTCCCTGTAGAAGTGTTATTATTCCTCCAATAACTATTATCATTAGACCAACAAATTTCGCCACAATAAAGACTGCCTGAGCATTAATGGTAAAACGTATATTTAGCACGTTGGCAGTTGCAATCACTAACACACATGCTGCAGCAATATACTTTACCTACTAGGTAAAGTATATTGCTGCAGCATGTGTGTTAGTGATTGCAACTGCCAACGTGCTAAATGGGAGGTGTACAGCCTGGGTAAAATGGTGCCAAGGCATACTTAGCAAAGCTCAGGGAACCAGCTATAATCCCAAATGGCTTCATCACAAACATGGTTGTAAAGGCCACAAAGAATGCAGGACAAGGTCCATAAATTCGAAGGATATCGCTGTAGTCACCACCTGATTATTTTATAATGGTTCCCATCTCAGCATATGTCAAAGCAGTACACATGCATACCACATATTGCCCAGATGATCAAGCTTGCCCCTGAACTCCCAACTTATGCCAGTACAAACTGTGGAGACATAAAAATTCCAGAACCAATCATGATGCCTGCAACCAAAGATACAGCACTGGTGAGCCCCAACTCCTGTCTTAGGGTCAATTTTTCTTTTCCTGCTTTTTTCCTTTTTCTGAAATGTAAAAGGAAAGCTGTCGTGCCTCAGAAAAACAGTTTGAAGAATGAAGAAAGAGAAATGCTTCAAGAAGTTCAAAGTTCTTGTTCAATATTAACTACACTAGCAGGTAAAAGTCTCATAGCCTCACAATATGTTGAATTTACAAGTAGACTTATCCTTTATATGTGTCTGGCATGATAAATAACATTGTGTAACATTGCGTAAACTGTTGTGCCAGTGCATATCGTTTATAGTATTGTGCCTGAAAATTCAGCAGGGCATACACATACAACATAAGACTTAACAACTAGACACATCTAACATAATTATGTTATAGGTCAGTAAAACCACTATGAAATAAATCATTAAGCAACAGATCGGTGTAATCATTACTGCAGGATTGCACCACAATAGTTAGGTGTTTCTGGAGTAATAGGGTAGAAACATGTTGATGAATTTATTTTATCAGTCATTTTACAATAGTAAAAAAATAATAATAATGTCTTCTTAAATAGTAATAATGTGTTTGTTATATAATTTTAAAGGTACATTTAGCAATTTTGGCACTGACTTTATAAAGCAAAGCTGATTGCAAAAACAATAGAAAAAAAAACAGTTTACACATTTTCCTCTGTGTAACATATCTCTCAGTTGCCAATTGTGATATTACAAGTGAAACTCCAGGTGTCACAAGCTGTGTCCCAAACTGAAGTGTGTGGACTCCAGAGTGTGCATTTGAAGTGCGATTGCGTCAGGGCGGCGCGACGAAGGCTGTCCCAAACTGAAGTGCGTGGACTCCGAAGTGCGCATTTGAAGTGCGATTGCATCACAGCGTCACAACGTAAGCTGTCCCAATTCAGAATGCACTCTCCGAAGAATGACAGTTCTGTGGGGGAATTCACATCGAAATGTAAGTATTGTGTTTTCATTTACTCAAATAGGCTACCTAGCGAAACAAGTGTTAAAAGCCAGTTTTTTTTAAACAAAGCCCACAAACAATAAGACAACCACTATATAAGGCAATAGTCTTTCTTTTTGTTTTTTTGCTAGTGCTGTCATGTCTACAAATGTTTTAACCAAACTTTAGCACGTCAGTATTTTGTATGCATGTCCTGCTGTGCCATATTTTCAAATGTTAAGATTACATATATGTCTTTATATTTTTCATAAGTGTGTTCATTTTCTCTTGTTTTGGGACTATTCTGGAGAAAATTATCCGGCTGGGGAAACACTTAAAAAATACAAAGTAAGCAAGTTAATAGAGAGATTTTTGCTGAAATTCATTGTGCTGTTGTTAACAGGCATGGTTTATTTGCTCTGCCTTAGGATTGCAAGTGTCCTGGGACAGGTGAGGGAGTGAGTGGAAGCTGGTGGAGCTGCTCAGGGAGAATATCAAATTCCAGAGAGAGACAGAGGAGAGAAGAGCAGGGAGACTGTTTTCTTTTCTTGAGGGAATGCTTAACAAATACATTCTTTATTAGCCAAGAGAAAAGAGTGGAAAAAATGGGTACATTACAATTTCATTCAAAAGCCTTTTTTCATTCACGCAGTGAAACTGCATGGCACATTGGTTCGTGCAGTGTATTAAAAAACGAACCAATGACTAGGCAGCGGAGCCAAGCCTGCCAAAGCCCGCCAGAATGGGTGGGGCATCTGGCTGTATAAGCAGGCGTTCGCCACGGGATTCTCAGGTTACTTCGACTGAAGCGACGACTGAGCTGTGCAGCTACTTAGCACGGATAGCAACGCAGTACTCGTTCCCGTATCTCAGGGAACCGAGGTTACGTTAGTAACCGAGTACGTTCTCTTTCCATACTACACTCGTACTGCGTCTTGCTAGATGCATATGGGAACACAGTGCAATCACGCCGTGCTAATGTAGTGGAACGACTAAAAGTATCAAACTTCGATAAGCAACCAATGCCCATAGAGAAGTTAACACCATCATCCCAAACCTCCTCCTGCCCAAACTAACTCAGCTCTCCGTGCCCACCTCCGTCTGTCAGTGGATCAACAGCTTCCTGACAGACAGGCAGCAGCTAGTGAGGCTGAGAAAATACACATCCAGCACCAAAGGGCTGGAAAAATCACTATGGACCCCTCACATCCAGCACACTCCTCTTTGAACTGTTGCCATCTGGTCGACGCTACAGAGCACTGAGCACCAGAATGGCCAGACACAGGAACAGTTTCTTCCCTCAGGCCATCCATCTCACATCTCATGAACACTTGACAATAACTGTGAAACACACACTATTTATTCACTCATACACTTATTTATCTAACACACATACTCAGTCTACATTTCAATTTGCACATAATATACCTGTACATACAACTGTCTATTGTTCTATACCTGTACATACAATTGTCGATTTGTATATTTTTTATTCCTTATTTTACTTGTTCTATTTTTTATTTATTTTTATTTTTTATTATCTGTGTTTTTTTGTTCTGTCACTGTCATTCTGTTACACTGTGGAAGCTTCTGCCACGAAAACAAATTCCTCGTATGTGTAAACATACCTGGCAATAAAGCTCATTCTGATATGATAGTATTTCAAATGTAACGGCACAACCTAATTAGACCCTACAACGCAAAAAAATCATGAGCAATAAACAAATATCCTACAAGAACATTGGACATTATACAATATTTCCAGTATTATATACAGTACTTTAATAATGAAACCTCAATATGACCTTCTTTTTCTCTCGCGTTTGATTCCTAGCGCTCCTAAAAGCTTATGTTGACAAAGTAGTAGCAACAGATAAATACAGATTGAATTAAAAAACAAAACTCCTAACTTTATATCACTAAAATGAAATTGGAAGCCGCTAACAGACGCTCACATCCACACTGGCAAGGCAACATTGACACCTTCACTTCCAGGTCAAGAAGATGTCAATCAAAAACTCAGTAACCAATGAGAACACACTGCTGCTAGCCCCACCCCCACGAGAGATTTGTGTCAGAATGGCAAACGAAAACTTCAGAAGCGTAAGCGAAAACTTTAGAAGCGTAAATTAAAACTCTGGAAGCGCATTTGTAAGTACAGATCAGCTAATGAAAGAAGAGAAAACAGTTGCAAAACATGCAGTGTATTAAAAACGAAGTCAAAGATTTTGCCTGCATTTTTTTCAGTTTCAAAGACATTTTATTCAGTTTCAATTTATATTTTCATAAGTTTCTTGAAAATTACATTCATTTTAATTGGCATAAAGGTAATCCCATAGCTATCAAGTCTTGTCCCGCGCCGCACTCTGTTGCGTCGGGTCTCGCGGGAGAGCACTTATGTTGACAAAGTAGTAGCAACAGATAAATACAGATTGAATTAAAAAACAAAACTCCTAACTTTATATCACTAAAATGAAACTGGAAGCCGCTAACAGACGCTCACATCCACACTGGCAAGGCAACATTGACACCTTCACTTCCAGGTCAAGAAGATGTCAATCAAAAACTCAGTAACCAATGAGAACACACTGCTGCTAGCCCCACCCCCACGAGAGATTTGTGTCAGAATGGCAAACGAAAACTTCAGAAGCGTAAGCGAAAACTTTAGAAGCGTAAATTAAAACTCTGGAAGCGCATTTGTAAGTACAGATCAGCTAATGAAAGAAGAGAAAACAGTTGCAAAACATGCAGTGTATTAAAAACGAAGTCAAAGATTTTGCCTGCATTTTTTTCAGTTTCAAAGACATTTTATTCAGTTTCAATTTATATTTTCATAAGTTTCTTGAAAATTACATTCATTTTAATTGGCATAAAGGTAATCCCATAGCTATCAAGTCTTGTCCCGCGCCGCACTCTGTTGCGTCGGGTCTCGCGGGAGAGCAGGGGCCGGATTCACGAAAATCTTCTTAAGAAATAAGTTAAGAAATGTCTTAAGATAAATTCCACGAAATTCGTAATGTTCCTGCAGATTAGCCTAATAATCTTAATAAGCACGCGAGTTTGACTGACACTTAGCTTCACGTTTTTAATGTGCCGTGTTTTTGAACAGTTACTTTTAAAATAGCCTGTCTCAAGCTGCAGCAATTTGTTTCATTCATTTTTGTGCTGTGTTTTTGCGCTCTCATCAGAGTGAACGCTTCCGGAATGTATGTCCGCGCTGCTACAGCAAACGCGTCCTGCGCATTCATGTGCGCTGAATACTGCCAAAGATTATATCGTATTTATAAGCTAAAATTTAAAGCGTTCAATTAAAGCTCCCTATCTGACTCATTTTAGAGTTGCTACTGAGTTTTGAAGCGAGTAAAAAGTAGCGTTACACATAGGCTAATCATGACCGATCATTGTTTATATCAGTCATCGCTGTCAATTCAGAAAACTCACGCACATTCCTATTAATAGTCCTACTATGTATTATATGTAGCTAGTGTTGTTGTAATGCTTAAATATAACAATTTATTTGAAGTAACCCAATAAATTCATTAAATAATTCTTACTGTTTGGGATTTAAGACAAGTCTGGGGATGTCCTAAATTTAAGAAGTTCTTTACTATGATTTTTAAGAAGATTATTTTCGAGAATTTTAATTCTTCTCAAGTTTTGTCTTAAGAACAATCTTAAGAGAAAAGATAAGAATATTCTTAAGATTAATTTTTGGGAATACAAAATATTCGTAACTTTTTTCTTAAGTTAAAAAATAAGAAGAAAATGGCAGTTAAGAAGAAATTTCTTCTTAAGAATGTTTCGTGAATCCGGCCCCAGGCCTCTAATCCACTGGCACTTGACTCGACAATGCGTGTGCTACATCCTTTTTATAATCTCCAGATTATAAAACACTGCATTCTGTCAGCAATGTAATGCGTCAGGAATGTATAGAGACCTTCGCTTGTAACTATACTCTAATTACTATTTTGAAAATTATAACGTGTTAAATTACTCCATTACTAAAAAAGTTATAAAATTACAGTAGTGCACTACTTACCTGCCCAACACTGCTCTTCTGACTGCCGTTAGCAGTCTCTCTCTATTTTTTTTTTTTTCGTTTTATTGAAAATCACGAAAACACATCATAGTTGAGGTATACCTAAGATGAAAATTACAGGCCTCTCTCATCTTTTTAAGTGGGAGAACTTGCACAATTGGTGGCTGACTAAATACTTTTTTCCCCACTGTATATATAGGGCCCAGTATATATTCGTCATTCAAAAGGAGAAACCGAAACAAAAATATACGAGATAAAAGCAGATATACGAAACGTAAACAAAGCAGCGCTTGCTTATGAATATCAGTAACGTTGATAACTTTAATCATTTTAAGCAGCTCATGCTGTTATGAAAACATTCGCATATTAGAATGATTGGGAAAGATCACGTAACATTTAAACAGCCATTTGAGTACCATCGCAGAAAGCCCGACCCAGTTTTCCAGTCTCTCTAGAAGTATGTTATGATCGACAGTGTCAAACGCAGCACTGAGATCTAGTAGTACCAGCACTGGTATTCTGCCAGAATCAGAATGTAAGCAAATATCATTTATTATCTTAATGAGCGCTGTCTCTGTGCTGTGATGCGGTCGGAAACCAGATTGAAAATTGTCCAGGTATCCATTTGAGTTTAAGTATTTTTTCAGCTGAATAGAAACTACCTTTTCAATAATCTTGCCTATAAAAGGAAGATTTGATATTGGTCTATAATTGCTCAAAATGGTGTTATCAAGATTGCTCTTTTTCAGAAGGGGCTTAACAACTGCAGTTTTCAGGGAGTTTGGAAATGTCCCAGAAAGAAGTGAGGCATTCACCACTTCTAAGAGATCTGCTTCCAAACAGTTAAGCACCCTTTTGAAAAAAGATGTGGGAAGTGTGTCAAGATGACAGGTTGACGATTTTAAGTGCTGCACTATTTCTTCCAAAATGTTGCTATCAATTGCTTAAAAAATAGACATAGCATCTTCTTTTTGATATTGCGGTTGAATCTGTCTGACCTCTGCATAACTTGAGGTTGTGCTAATCACCTTCCTGCTATTAATGATCTTCTCAGACAAGAAGGAAGCAAACTCATTGCATTTGCTGTCAGAGAGCATTTCACTGGGAATCTGACTTGGGGGGTTTGTTAGTCTCTCATTATAGCAAAAAGAGTGCAAGTGATGTTTAAGTTACTGTTTATAAGGTTTGAGAAGAAACTCTGTCTAGCTGTGGCTAGTTCCACATTGAAAGCATGAAGGCTGTCTTTATAGATGCTATAGTGAATTTCAAGTTTCCTCTTATGCCACATCCGCTCAGCTTTTCTGCATTGCCTTTTCATACTCTGTACTGCTGTTGATTTT